CCCCAAAACCCCAAAACCCCAAAACCCCACATTGAAAAATTATATGGTATTATAAATTTATCAGTTAAAATGAAAAATTTGAATAAGCAATCGAATAGTCAAGCCAAGACACTGAAGCCAACTTAATCTTAGAAGCAGATTATGGTTGTTCCCAGAGTCTCGACTATTAATTTGACTATTGCAAATTAACAAAGGCAGAAGGACTCAGTTGTCAGAAGCAGCAGGAATACCTCAGATAAATCAAGTGGGATTTAAAAACTATGCCAAAACATACTAGAAAGTAGTAAACAGTCCATGATTGACAATAGACTTCTTTCAAGCCCCACTGTCGATGAATGCTAGATGGCTCCAAATGAGCACTAAAAGGTTCGATCTTTTATCTACACAAATGATATGGAACAATAGAAGCCAGAGCAAGATATATTGTAGAAAGGCCCATAGAAGAAATTGATATCAAAACACCAATAAAATGCTTTGAAAATCACAAATGTACCTTTAAACGATCAGGAAAGTCTATAAGAAACTGGAGACATCTATCGAACCTCAGACTTCAGGACTATTAACTCAAGCTAGTCAATTCAGAACTTTAAGAACTAATTCACTCCAGACATGAGTGATATAAAGAAATGCAACACAGTAATGTCAAATATAGATGTAGATGATACTATAGTAAAAACTCCAGTGCAAGATAAGGAGAATATTACAAGAAGTCCTGCTGGGTATTGTAATGGGAAGAGCAAGGGTGGGAATTCAAAGTTCAACTCACCTATGCCTAAGAAAGTCAATGAAGAAGATGTAAACAGAAATCTCTGGTGTTCTAATAACAAGGATGCTTTTGAGGACAATATGGACAAAGTGACATAGTTAAGGAGTGGTGGAGGAATATACAAAAACAAGCACACTTAAAATCTAGAATGCTAAGTATTCAAAATTCTGGATCAAAATAGAATACCTGATTCACTAGAGGAGATAGAGGAAATCATAGAACAAGATAATATGAGTAATATTAAAACTGATTTAAGTTAATATAGAAACTCTGAACAAGATATTTGCAAAATATGCTTTGTCCTACAGCCAGGACAAGAGATATATAAACTACAAAGCCTTCAAGGAATTCATATCTTTTCTTTAGATCGATAAGCAACTTGAAAAGTCAGAAACTGATCTAGTTTTCTTTAATTTCTCAATTAGCAACCAAAATGGTAAGATTTTTCTTTAGTTGATTTGATTAGTTGACTTTTTGAGATTCTGCTAAATGCAGCTGAGATTGTCGAAGTTAGTTTCACCTTGGGAGAAGAACCTGTATATTTCAGTGCAGCACTATTTCCAGGAATACATCAACAACAGATTCGTGCTATCAAAAGTGCAGGTTGTTGTGAGCAAGATAGTTCAGGAATTCGAAACACTAGAAAACTTTAATGATTATGTGAGTTAACAACTAAAGTCGAAGACTCAAAAACAAATGAGAGAATTCTTGCTTAATAAGGATCAGGGGTAGAGTAATGTAATTATGAAAGTGACTCTGATGCAGTTCCTGACTAAGTGTCAGATATGCCCCTTCATTATAACTAAGTCATTCCTGAATCATGTAGCAAGTATAATAGGTAAACAACCCTAGATAAGTTTTACTTGGGAGGAGTGCTTGAACATATTAGGAGTGCTCGGAGTAATGATGGTGAAAGGCAAAGATTTGAAGAAAAATGAGATCCAAGACAGAGTCAAGGCTATTGTCATTATGATTCAGAAAAGTATATTTTGATTTGATTATGTATTATATATTTCAATGATTTAATCCTACCTAGAATAAGGGGTTTTGGGGTTTTGGGG